TATGAACATGAATCACAAATTATATATGCATGGGTACATAGTATTAATAAGACATTCAATTAAAAAAAACTAAATATTTAAACACATAGACTTTAAAGAAAAAAGAACTATAGTATTTACAAAAAAAAAATACAAAACAAAATAAAACACCAAAATTTTAGTAAAGAAACCCCTTTTTTGAAATCAAACTTTTGTGAATGTCAAAAATTTTACATAATAAGATTTTTAGTTTTATAAATAAAAAATAGGAAAAAATTGCACATTATATTTTAATTCTATTATATACACAAAAAAGTTTATAAATCTATCATAATTTTTATAATTTAAAATTTATTTATATAAAAAATTATATCAAATAAAAGCTAATAAGTTATAATAATGTATATTCTATGAATTATTAGTGTAACTGGCATGCTACTTTCTACAAAATTAGATAACAAAATGAACAATATCGGTTTATTTCAACATGAGGTGACTCAAGCTGAGTCACTCAACGGTCTCAAGCATTCTACGAAACTAGCTACTTGGTTAACCTAACCCTTTATTTCCTGCCTCTTATTTTTCTTAATATTTAATATATTACCGTAAAACCGAACATGCAACATACATTTCAAACTATTTATCCTCTATTTTAGGTTCACTCAATTTGCACCCAAGCAGCTGAGCTTGGTACGCCTGCGTGCACCAAAAACATCATATAATATCCCGGAGGAGCAATCTCAGCCGTTGATGGACCCAACGCATCAATTCTATACGAATTTGTCAGCCCGTCACGCGTCACAGAGAGTAGCTTTAAGATCACCATCCTCTGATTCATCGCAAAGGAGTGCGTAGTGAAGGAAGGTGCCACTATCCTCACAGACAGAAGATAAATTGTTAGAAACTGTGCTATGAAAAAATTTACGTTGAACAATCTCTTATAACCAACTATTTTGTCGTTGGTCAATATCTTCGGTCTTATTGAGTCAGATGTGAAAGATAGGTACGGAGGAGAATAAGCCTCGAGGCTTAATTCCGTTGGATACTCGACGTTGGTGAAGTTGTAATAAATGTGAGGATTACTTCCTCCAACTAAAACCCGACCGTCAGGTAACAAAACCGCTGAGGAATGGTACATCCTAGGACGTGATGAAGTGGACATAATTGAAAACCTGCGATCAAACGGGTGATATATAATGGGTTGGGTCACCGGGTCATGCCCGTTTTCCCATCCGGCCGTGCCAGATCCTGCGCCGTTTATTATAATGATATTACCCGTTGGTAAAAGCAGCATGTCGCCCATGACACGTGGCAATGGCATGGTTTCCATTTCCCAAATTGGATTCGAACCACTTAGCTTTAGCCTCCCGCACGTGGAAATGGCTCGTGTGAATCCGTGTTGGCTTCTCGCACGTGAGAAGGCGCCTTTGGGAGCACCTCCACAAACCATAATCTCCGCTTCCATAACATTCTTGGTTTCATCTAATGGAAAAAGTATGGAAGAGCCACTACTTGGGTAATTTCTTGGATCACCACCTGGAATCTCTGGAAACACTCTCACGATTCTGTTGCTTTTGTAGTCAAACACAATTGATCTTGTGTTAGCGAATACGAATAAGTTTCCATCGGGTAAAAGGTGTAGGAACGGATATAAGTTGTTCTCGTTATCTCCATCTGAAGTTTCTCTCAGAAACTCAAACCTTGATCCTTTATACCGATGGTAATCGGGGCGGGGGAAGATTTCAAAATTAAATTGTCTTCTTCCCCCGACCACGATTATCCGCCCATCTGGTAATATTTGGTTGGTGGCATACCATCTACGTTGGGCTAGATACTGCGGAAACTCGATCCAGTCACATGTTTCACTATAACCACAAGGGGTAAACATCCGAGCAGCACGCTCACCATCGTTGTATCCACCGGTTTGAACCAATGTTCCGTTGGGAAGAACCGAACCAGAAGAACACCATGTATCGGTTTGGACTTTCAAGGCCCGGTATGTGTTTGAGACGACGTCGTAGAGAACCGAATGTGCTGAACAATCGAACTTGACGGCAGTATCACTTGGATCGAATCGACACATGCCACCCGGTAGAGAAATATTTGAGATGCCGAAATCGGTGCGGTCGAACATTACGACCATACCGTTGTGGAGCAGTTGCATGTGCATGGCGGAGATACCGATACTAGGAAGCAATACTTCCCATCGATCGAGTTGCATCAGAAATGGGACAGGTTCACCTATAGCTATGGAGAGGCATAAGATAGATGTTGTGATGATGAATGTTTTCTCGGAGTTGATCATAGTGCTTCCTTTGTTCTTGCTTTGATGGTGAGTTTTAAGTTAGAGGTTGGTATTTTGTTTTCTTGTTGAAGAATTTGGTTAGAGTACGTCCAGTTACATATTGTCATAGATTTCTTTTTATATTAGATTGTTATTTTTTTTTTTTGTTAAACTGACGATTCTGGTAGATTTGGACAGTATATCTTTTTTTTAATACTGATTATAACTTTAATTAAATATTGTGAGTAACCAATAGATGATTACAATGAAAGATCACTTAAAATGATATCATAATTATAAAAATTTTTACAAATTCAATCGACAAAGATTTCCAAAGAATTTGAAAAAATATTTGGAATAAATTTTCAAATCTTCTTGTCCTCTCCTCGTAATGTGTAGACTTTGACAATTATGAAATATGCTTCTCGAATTGGCATGGTAGAACCTCTATTGAAGTGGTTTAAAACCTTATAAAAATATCGTGACCAATTTTATTGACAGAAAACGACATAGATCCGGTACAAAGAAAACAAAAGAAAATCCAGTTCTCAACCAGATCTAGTTGTAATTTCTTATGGAGGCGACTAGCCTGAGCTGCCCAAACGCAACACCAAGCCAAACACATACATTGTGGAAGGCGGCAGATTGATCCGACAAAAAATCATGGAAAACACCGATAAAAAGGAGAAGAAACCAAAAATCAATAAAAAAAAACTCTTTCAAATCCCACAAAAAAAAAATAAACCAACCAAAAAAAAAGAGCGTAATATGGAGAACTAACCAAATAAACAATCAGACCGATGATGGAGCTAAAAAAGCCTCCCACCCATCGGCCAGAAACCTTCGAAAACTCTTTTTCTCTCTAGGCGGCTAAGGTTTTTTCGTTATTAAGACGAATTAGAAGAACTTAATTTGGACAGTGTATCATAAAAGAGGATCATTTTTAATAAATGTCCAAATCTTACCGTGGTATTTACAAGTCCTGCCATTGGGTTTGCTAGAGAATTATATCATTTCATAAAGGGTATATTCGACTTAATCATACACTAATCATACCTATCTAATACTATGAATAACCAACTAATCATGTCTCCTTAGTATTACATTCCATATAATACATTCCATCCTGTACATTCAGTATAATTTTTAAAGACCATTGATCACCATCGACAAATTGTGATTCATCTAAACCGAGATTGCGTATAACCATCTATACCGTTATTGTGGAGCATAAACTCAATTATCCTGCAAATATAACTTCAACATTTACTCTTATGCAAGTAAATATCATGAATTACTGTGATCATACAGTAATTTCATTCGAGAACCACGATTAAGCACCATCGAAAATTTGAGATTCTTTTAAGTCAACGCATCTTAACCGAGATTTACTCAAACCTTTCCAGAAAGGCAGCGCATCTAAACAGTATTATCGACCAACTAAATTTTGGAAATAATTCAAATTTAATCATATCTATTTATATGAACTAAGAAGCAAGCATGAGCAATTCTTAACTCATTGAATAATTGAGGTTCTTTTAAGTCAATGCATCTTAATCGAGATCTACTTGAACCAAATAATTAAGGCAATGCATACACACCGGTTTAGATAGAACTTAAACCTCAGAAATAATTGAAATTCAATCATATCTACTTATATCTTTTTGAAACTAATAAAAAATCTGTGCATTTGCAAATTCTCAAAACAGTAATAAGATATATTCGTTTTAAATGTACTTTACATATATAACAATCTTATTTACGCAATTAGTTAGAACTAAATATATTCTCTTTCAAAAATCTCGGAGATAATTGAATGGTAAATCATGTCTATGCATATATTTTCGCCAATCATATCGATGCATATCTTTGCAGAAACTAATAACAAAAAATATGGTAGATTCTGAAAACAGTTTAAGCAGTTAGTTACTCTAAAACAGATTCTCTAAATAGATTCTCTAAAATATTTAGTTGATGATCATCAGTAGAACCGAAAATTACTCTAACTAATTGCGTACTAAATATATATGAGAATATATCGTACCTATAGCTACTGCTCTTATATATAGACTCACTAAATAGTATTAATTCAACTATTCACTATCACAAAACTCGCAAAATTAGTTCTCTGATTGGCTTCACAAACCTGGCCGATGTCAAACCATAAAAATCATCTTAGCGAATCCGTGTGAAAGTCCTCCACTCATGGAAGCAGTACACCGAGCAGTACACCGTCCAGTCAGGTCAAACTTTGGAGCTGATTCTAGGTGATGAAAATGTGAGTGTATCAACTTTGATTAACCAAAAACAATATATATTATTGAAAGTATGGATTACAATCTAAAATTTTGACGTTCACTTTGTAGGGTAGTTTGATACACGCATCGTGTAAGAAGACATATGTGAGCCGTGTTGAACGGTTGGTTCCAGTAGAAAAATGGAAAGTCATTGAGAATTTCTCATTGACATATGCATCTGGTCAGTATCGTCCAACTAAGCACAATTACAAGATATCTTTCACAGACAGCACTTCTATTACGAAGTGCAGTATCAAAAGTAACTTAGAGTTTATCAATCTCGTGGACTTTGGTACTATTCTAAGTGGAAACCTTAACCAAAGCTTCTTGGTTGGTGAGTCTTAATAAACTATGATATTTTCAAATTAATTTTAACAACTGTCGTTAGTTTAATGATATGGCTATTCCCAAAATCTTACTTTAATGATACTGATATTTAAATGTACACAGACGTGATTGGCCAAGTTATTGACGTGAAGGATATTGAAACTGTTCAAGTCAATGAAAAGGAGAGGAAAAAGATTGAATTTGAACTACAAGATACTAAGTAATAGATCTCTAACATCCTATCTGTTTATGATTATTGATTGAAAGTAGTTTTAAAAGATTTTCCTGGATACCTTAGCCATGTATGATTGAAACTTTATTTTATTTTTTTTAGTGATGATTGAATGCGCTGTTGTTTGTGGGAAAGGTGTGCTGATCAACTTTGGACCAGTTGCCAAGAAACAACTAAAAAGGTTGTTATATGCTTAATCAGGTTTGCTAAAATTGGACACTACGGAGGTATGTTTTCTAAGAACTGACTTCGCTATATTTTTGTTGCCTATTACGGAATTTCTGAATTGTTTTCCTCATCTTCATAGGCAAACTTCAAATTACAAATGAATTCAAGACATCCAAGCTAATGATGAATCCTGTTTTACCTGAGGTTGCCGAATTCATGAATGTGTAAGTGTCTATCATCCAATCTAATGTCATGTTGTAAAGATATCATATTTTTTTTATTACATTATCTTAAGTATGAACATCCTTTTCTAAATGTTCAGGTTGCCAGATGATGGTCTTGCTCTCACCATCGTTGAGACTACCAATGATGAAGATAAAATGATGAAGAAGAAAGAATATTGGTCTAACCTGCAACAGAAGACTATTAAAGAGTTACTAATTACTTCTGAGGTAAAATACTCAGTTGTTTTTTTTAGAAGACTATGGGATGTACTCTACAGTAGTCATACATTTACATTTTTTCAATCAAACAAGAGTTTTGTTTGCGTGGAAGATTGCAAGATTGTGTGTTCGATCTATGCCATTGACACAAATTGGGGTTGGTATTATTTTGGGTGCGTAAAATGCAACAGAAATGTTGAAAAACGAACTAAGTACCAAGCAGGAGCAACAGTTCGTATCAATGGCCTTACTTGGTGGGGTAAGACATGCAACAAAATCGTCACTAAACTGGAGGCCAAGTAAATGTTACTAAGAATATACACTTAGTTCATTTATACTATATAATAAAACTAATGTCCTGTTATTGCTAACTGCAAGTTATTTTCTCTTTTAAGGATGAAACTGCATTTTATGGTTATGGATCAAACAGCGAAGACGAAGGTGATGCTATTTGATACAATCTCTAGCACTATTGTACTGCAGTCAGCTACAAAACTACTAAGTGGTTCTTTTGATGAGGTATATGCGCGTTCTTATCTTTATTTATTTTTAGGTTTAACTTATGATGATTGTGTGAAATATTTATCTAATTATTAGCTTCTTCAATTAAATAGATGGTTGATGCAGAAAATATTCCACAATCTATCAAGGATTTAGTAGGTAAGGCTTTCCAGTTCTGTGTTTGTGTTGAGAAAGAAAATCTGCACTACGGTTTGGAAACCTTTAAGGTTGGGAATGTATATTCTAGAAATGAAATTATCACACTAGCAAACTCTTCTGTATACCAACGGACTCAAGTTGATAATTTATCAACTATTATTTCCAGTGATGAGGTATTATTCTGATTCTTATTTTATGAATATGTAATTGATTGCTGTAACAATATACTAACTACTAAATACTATATAGGTTTCAATGATCCACAACAACAGCGACGAAAAATTCGATGATTAGTACTACGCCTTCTAGTAAGCGTTTTTTTTCCGATGAGTTGGAAAGCTTACCTGATCTCTCTTCAACATCCAAAAAGCTTTGTATCAAGACTATCAAACAAGAGAAGATTGATGGAAAGATGCCTACCAGTGAAAAAAAATTGTTGTAATTAAACGTAAAAAAAATGATGTGGAAAAGAAAACAAAAAATGGTGACAGTCAGACAATTCTAGCCAGAACCAAAGAAAAAGAAAAGGAGAAGTAACTAACACCATTCAAAATTGAAATATACTTTGTCCATTTCATTTTTCAATTAAAGTTTTTTTCATGAAATGTTTTGGTTTTTAATTTTCATTTGCAGGTTGTTTTTATGTTTTATTTGTTTTTGGATACAATAAGACCAGTTTTTGATCCTAGATTTTGATCTATTAATTATTCAAAGTCGGAGATGATTATTTTCTTTTAAATTGCTATTCCGTGTTAGTCTTATATGGATTTTAAAGAGTTACTAAATGTGGTATAATAAGCTTTTATAGCTTAAGGATGACTTTTAAATCAAACTTATTGCATGGGCTATTCTCAAAACCATATGATATTCTTAGAAGCCCAAACATCCCCTTCTATATAAAATCATTGGGCTATATTGATATTAAAATTTTGGTTGGCGAGAATAAGATTTTCAAAAAATTTTGACCAATAACTTCAATATAAATGAAACAATCTTCAGCCAAATCGTGATCTTTACTACGTAAAGTTTCTGAAAAGTTTCTGAAGAACAAAGATTTTTTAAACTTATCGATGCAATTGTTTTGTCTTTTCCCATTTCTCTTTTTTTTTTTGTAAACGTCACCTACAAATCTGACACAAAGTTAAATTAAGTTATACCAGTTGCATTGATAACCAAACTTAAATTCATTAAACAAAAATCTAAAATGCAATGAATCTAAACTTGTACCTACATCCCATCCCACTATATATAGAAGATAAAGTTTCCAATCTAATAACAAACCAAACCTCCTTTCTTCATTTCTTAATTACTAAATACTAAAAGCATGAATTTTATCTCTAACAAAGTAATTGATCTTCATCCATGGAAATTAGACTGGGTTATGCGTGTCAAAATTCATAGGAAGTGGCTAACCAGTGCTCAAGATGGAGTTCAGTCTCTCCATTTTGTATTGGTTGATGAACGTGTAAGTAATTTATTCTACATGTATGATTATTTTTTCTAGATCTTTCTCTTTTAAATGTTTTCATTGAAGTATTGATTTTTCATGATATTAACTATATTTACTTTCGACACAAAATATTACCATATTTTGACCGAAAAATGCATGAAGAAGAGTGGAAGAAAATCTACAACTTTACTGTCATCAGAGTTCCAAATCTGATGCGTTTAACTGATAGTGATAAAGAACTCAGTTTTCTAGAGAACACTGAGGTGAAAAGAACCAAGTTCGATAGTAAAGACCACTTCCTGAATTTTAAAAGCTTTGATACTCTTCTCAACCAGCATATACCTCTACAACTTCCTGTTGGTAAAAACTTTAAACTCTTCCTATTATATACTTTATAATGATTGTATTTCTCAAGTTCAAGTGATCCTAGTCTCATTTTAACTTTAATATAGATGTGATTGGGAAAGTTACGCATGTTGAGGATCTAGAGTTAGTCCATGATGACATGTTTGGTCATTATTCTCCTAAACAAAAACCCGTCTAAGGTTCACGATGGTCAATAACGTGTGAGGTTCTACTATTATTTTCCTACTTTGTTTGATCTATCGCTTGATAGCTCGATGTCTTTGGTCAATGTAAATACCCGTTTGTCTCTGCCTCCTTACAGCGTACGATGTGACCGGTCGATGTGGTTGCACTTCTTTGAAATCGACCTCCAATGCTCGATGTTGACGCCCAATGTTAGCTACATCGAGCTGGATCAGCTCGATGCTGCTCCACGATGTGGGTCAAAATGGATCAGCTACATCGAGCTGGATCAGCTCGATGCTGCTCAACTATCCACTTGCTTTGAACACCACCTACTCATAGGATCAAAAGAAAAACACAAACACAAAATTTAAAATGTAAAAATATGTACAGGTATAACATGGGAATACCTCCCAAGTATGCTTGTTTAACGTCCTTAGCTTGACTTTCCTTGGCCAATCACTCTTGTATAGGATCTTGAAGTCGGATGTCTACGTCATCTCCAAGGGGCTCACTTGCCATGTATGACTTCAGCCTGTGCCCATTCATTATGAAGTCTCCTCCATCTTTGTCAAATAAAGTCACAGCTCCATATGGAAACACCTCCTTGATCTTGAATGGTCCTGACCACCTTGACTTAAGCTTTCCAGGAAATAAATTCAGCCTTGAGTTGAACAATAGCACCTGATTTCCAGCCTTAAAGTCCTTGTGTCTTATCCTCTTATCATGAAAACCCTTGGTCCTCTCTTTATAGATCTTAGAGCTCTTAAAAGCTTCAAGGCGATTTTCCTCTTACTCATGTAAGTTGATGAGTCTCCTCTCTTGAGCTGTGTTGATGTCAAAATTCAACAACTTTGTTGCCCACAAGGCTTTGTATTTGATAGGGAGCATGTTTTATCCTAATAAAAAACTGCTCCAAGTGCACAGCAATGCAGTTATAGTATAAGGGGTTATCGAATCCCAAGGGAGTAAGTAAACTACACTAGCGACTATAAATTTGGATTAAGCTAAGCAATAAGTAATAAATGTAATGCGAAACAGCAAAATAAAAGCAAGTGGGAGTTTTAATGATTGTTCTTAATGTTCAGAAAGCTAAAGGCGCTAAGTCAGGACAATTCACAAGTTGAATCCGAGAGTGTAGAATGCATGCAATCAGGAATGAATGAAAACCGTCTTGAACATGAATCGCAAAGGTATAACTAATCAATTCTCATTGCAGAAGTTATCTATGTCTAAATTACAGAGTTTCAAATCTCTTTGCAAACTCTAACAACCTAAACATGGAGTAATGATCAGGTTCAATTGTACAAAAAACTCCTAAGCCAAATCTCTTTGTACTACGGCGTTTTGCTCATCTAATACTAGTTCAGATGATTAACAATGTTCTCACATCTATTAAACAACCTATGATTTCGAAATCTAGATGATTAGTCTCAGAAATCGATATGAATGCAAGCACAAATGAAGAAGCAATGGATTTCCCTAGTAATTAGCAATTCTACAAACTCTTCATCAACCTTTGGAAAGTCCTAACTTAACTAAAAACTACTCAGACATGGTGAATTGAGAAAATATCATGAATAGAATAAATTGCATAAAATAAATAAGATGTAAAGATAAAGGAGTTCGAAATCTGCTCTGAAGGAGTCTGATTTGTCTCTCCAAAAGCTCTGTAAACTAATCTCTCTCTCAAGCTCTCTAGAAAATTAAGATACAAGATAAAAGCCAACAACAGCTGAAAAACTAATATAGACAAGCTAAAACACGAGCTGGGGTCTTCTTGTAAATAATTGAACTTCTGGGCCAAAACTGTAATTTCCTTTCTATATTTTAATAGAAGTCGCGATTTCTCTTCAGATGAGGGTGACGAGCATCATTCATAAGTGGTGACGAGCGTCACCCACTGCAGAACAACGCTTCCGAGATGCTAACTTCGTGGTTGATCTTTGCAATGATCCAAAAAGCTCCAAAACCTCCAATTATGCTCCAGACATGCCATAACCCGCAAAGACTCTACTGGGACTCTAAAAAGACCAAAAAGACTCAATAAAAAGGATTTATACCATGGTTAAAAACCATAAAACCATGATATATCAACTCCCCCAGACTTAGCTTTTGCTTGCCCTCGAGCAAACATCAGACAAAGAACAGATTCGAGGTTTGAAAGCCAGAAACAGCCAGCTAAACATCACAAACACCACATTGATTAACACTTTCGAATCCACATACCACAAAGCCAACACAAGATCAAATTTCAGAATAATCATCACAAGCTTAGCAAATCTCTCAAATCCAGTTCAAGTTCCTTCAAGAAATCCGAAATCTCTGCTGCTAAGTCCTTATATCTATCTAACTATGATATCTCATCAAG